CATTTTCTTGATTTCCTTTATAGCGTATTCAAACATTCAATTTTTATTCTTTCCTTGTGGAACACTCTCTTATAAATGGAACGGTTCACAACTTCCTTTGGTTTCAGTATTATTACATACAAATAAATTGTCCAACAACTAACTACAATTGTTTACTTTACAGGGGTAAAAATAAAAATATTTATATAATTATAAATCTAAAAAAAATATATATATATTTTTTAATATTAAATAATAAAATTAAAAAAAACAACAAATAATAAATTCAATAAAAAATATACGGACTTTTTGGCTCAAATCAGGATTTCTTTCATCTTATATTCTTTTTCTTTTATTTTTAGGAGGGTTTGGGTAGGAACATGTTTTCTTAATCTGTATTTCATTTAAATTTTCTTTTTTTTTCAAATTCATTATTATTTTTACACAAAAAAAATCTTATATTTTTTTAGTAAAAAATGTATGTAATGATTGCTATGTTTATGTATGATTGTATGTGCTTTTTAGCGTTTTTTTTAGTAAATGTTAAACATTTTGTATTGTTAAAATTCAACTTTGGTTTCAATTATTAAATGGTTTTTTGGTATTCAGTTAAATTTCTATAGATTAATTAGATATTAACTAATTAAAAATGGCAAGTTGTTTTCAATAGAAATTATATTTTTTATGTAAATTGGCATTTCAATTTAATCGATATCCAAATCGTAGCGGAAAGCATTAACAGAAGCGTTTAATTTTAAATTGATTACAACAGATTTATTGAACGGCGCCTAAAAGTATGCTATATGTTTGTGGCCTGCAAGGGTGACATGGTCATTTATTTAATCTTTTTCAGTAATATGAAACAAAAACAGAAAAAAATTCCTGATCACACAATGGAAGCCAATCGACACGGAATTTTGCCAGTGAAGAGAGTTAAGGACAGGGAAGAATTCTAGCATTTTGGATGACCATTGGATTATATTTAGCTGTAAAATGGGCCACAACAACTAACAGCACGACAGAGTGCGTAAATATTGGGCAAATGTCCCTGGTCAAAATCCCAAGGATAATATCTGGGCAGTGCTCCGTGACATAATTTCGAAAGCGAAATCTTCCAAAATGGATTTGGACATAAAGAAACTTCAAGCATATTGTAGTGTTGTAGGGTATCACATGGTCGGCCCCGCACCACTATAGCCTTTGCTAACTTGTTATATTTTATTTTTTCTTATAACCCTCCATTAAAAATAAGCCCTTCCACGTAAGATTTACAACAATTAATCGGTCAATTAATTATTATGAATAGAACAATGTAAAACAGTCGGTTTTTAAACAATAGCTAGCTGATGTTCTTTTATTCTCATTCTTTCATTTCTTAACCTTTACAATAATGAATTAGCTTTTTCTTGTGGTCATAAAAATAAACTAGACAAAGGATTGACTTGTCCTACAAACTTCCAGCCTACTGCCCCCCACAATGAGGGGAAACAATAGTTCCAACATTTTTTTTTTCAACTCTAACTTATTAGAAACAAGAAGAGGGGGAGCTTTGTAATAGTGAAAGATAGGGTGCAACTTATTATTCCACATAAATATGAAATTATCAAAAGGTGAATTTTCATTGGTGCAGAAGGAAAAGAACTAGTACAACATGCTTAATAGGCTGACTGACTGCCAGGCTACATGGATGCCTGGCTGGCTTGGCTCCAATTGTTTTTAGATTGCATGCTTAACAATAAAATAATAGCCTAAAAACGTTGGTGGTAATTAAATAAAAAAGGTGTACTTGCTGCCGAACATCTTCTCTTGCTTTGACTTTGAAATATAATATAATTTTCTACTTGGATAAATCAAGGTTACTTTCATATAACAAGTTAAAACTTATCAGTCAGTTCTGCCGACAGATGTATATCCTCAGCCAATGTTCGATTATTTCGATATATTTTGACTTCTTTTATGATTCTTCAATTGTTGACCCTCTATGGAGAAGGTTCCGAAGGAACACACATTTATATCCAACTTTATGCGAAATCATAAATTCCGATAAATTCCATATTTATGTCAGGTTTCTGGTTGAGAGAAAAATTTAGAAATAGCAAGTTGTAAAAAATCGCTGACTTGATTCGCAAGTTATGACAGATTATCCATTATCCAGACATGATCGGATTATCCATTCTCTTGCTGTGCAGTAAATTACCAGAAGTACCAGAAGGAGGAGAAGTGCCCATCTCCGATCATCGATCTAAGTTTGACAACAATATTACGATCCGATCATCGATCTAAGTTTGACAACAATATTACGATGTACCAAGTTTGGATCAAATCGGATACTCCCTTCGAGAGTTATTGTATGCACCATCCAGCTAAACAGACAGACAGTTAGACAGACGGGCGGACATCGCTAGATCGACTCCAAATGTGCTGATACGGATTTGGATCAGAGACCTAGGGTCTAAAACCGTTATCTCGATGAGGCACGTTTTGGCCGTATCAAGTGATGTATACCCTCTCTAGAGGGTATAAAAACTTTGAGGCGAAGAAGTTGGCTCTTGAACTGAACATATCGCAATATTCCATTCGGCAAATATTGAAAAATGAGCTCGGGGTAAAGCCATTGAAATTCCACAAAGTGCAAGAACTTACACCGCAACAGAAAGAAAATAGACTCAAAAGAGCTGAAGAGTTGCTTCGCTTGGCCGAAAGTGGTGAACTGCCGAATTTAGTTTCCTCCGATGAGAAAACATTCGTTGTCCAGCAGTTTCTAAACGAACAAAATGATCGTGTTTACATGCCAAAGAAGTCAGTTGAAAATGGTCGCTCTCCGCTCATATTAATCGACTGTGACATCAGAATAAATGCCGAATATTATCGCGAAAATATTCTGGAGGGTGCATTAAAGCCTTGGGCACGTGAACATTTTGGCCGCAGACCTGGGACATACCAACAGGACTCAGCACCATCGCACTCAGCACGCGCCACCCAAGAATGCTTACAAAATGAGGTTCCTCGCTTCATTTCCAGCGCACATTGATCACCAAAATAATCGGATACCAATCCGTTGGACTATTGTATCTGGAGTATTTTAGAAAACATGGTTGGCACTAAAAAATACCAAAGTGTCGATCACCTCAAGCAAGAATGGGCCAAAATACCGCAGAGCAACATTCGGGCAGCGTGTGACGGACGGTTTCATTGGCCGCTTGAAGGCCATAATCCATGCCAAAGGTGACCAATTCGAACAAATCTAAACTTATTCTAAAATTTGATGATATTTCCGATATTTTTTGCTTTCATTCAATAAAATTTAAAAAAAAAATGTAAAAATTGTGGCTCTTGGCTTTGTTGCAGTTTTTTATCTCACCCTGTATGCATAGGCACGTATTATATATTTGTGATATAATTCTTTAACTTTGGTGGGATCTTCACTTAACGATTTAGGATCTAAATATAAAGTAAACTTTTCACAAAAAACCTGATGCTGTTATTGCTACTGCCTTTGTTTTGGACATCGATTATGACAATTTCCAATTGTCTTTAAAAATAATTATTGTATTTTTTTTAAATTATTTGGCATAATTTTTGGAAAAATTCATTTTTTGGTATTTTTATCAAATTTAGTTTCATTTTTTTTTCTTTGGTGACTAGATGATGAATATGATGAAAATGGCGAAGCATGGCTTATGATTTTTGTATATGTAAATGAAAATTCTTAAATATAATAAAAATATTGGCACGATTTGAAATGAAAACATTTTGTAATCGTGTCAAATCAATAAAATAATAATATTAATTTATAACAACAAATTAAGTAAAAACTATTTTTTTTAAATTCTTAAAATTAAAAACAAAACGAAGAAAAAAATATTTCACTTTCTATATGCTACATATTTACAAGCATTGCCGTAATTATTTGGCTTGGAGCAAGGCTCAAAAATTTTTCAATTGGAAGAGGGGTGAAGAAAGAACCAGTTTCTAACGTCAAAAGAGCAATGGATTAAATAATGCAAACGTAAAGATTCAATCATGGGAAACTACTATCAAATCGAATTTTGATTTTAAAAATTCAATAATTGAAAATATTTTCACTGCCACGAATGGTGGAAAAGTTGTATTCCAAAAACATGATTATCACGTAATCAGTTCGAATCACTTACATTTTTCAATTACATTTAAAAAGTCTCTCCCTCCTTAGTAATTTTTTTCTAATTTCCTTGCTTTTCCTCCCTTCTCTATTATCCCTTCCTATTATATTAATAACAATAATAATAATAATAATAATAATAATAATAATAATAATAATAATAATAATAATATAAAAATAAAAATAATAATAATAATAATAAAAATAATAATAATAAAAATATTATTATTATTATTATTATTATTATTATTATTATTATTATTATTATTATTATTATTATTATTATTATTATTATTATTATTATTATTATTATTATTATTATTATTATTATTATTATTATTATAATTATTTTTATTATTATTATAATTATTTTTATTATGATTATTCTTATTATTATTATGATTATTCTTATTATTATTATTATTATTATTATTATTATTATTATTATTATTATTATTATTATTATTATTATTATTATTATTATTATTATTATTATTATTATTATTATTATTATTATTATTATTATTATTATTATTATTATTATTATTATTATTATTATTATTATTATTATTATTATTATTATTATTATTATTATTATTATTATTATTATTATTATTATTATTATTATTATTATTATTATTATTATTATTATTATTATTATTATTATTATTATTATATTATTATTATTATTATTATTATTATTATTATTATTATTATTATTATTATTATTATTATTATTATTATTATTATTATTATTATTATTATTATTATTATATTATTATTATTATTATTATTATTATTATTATTATTATTATTATTATTATTATTATTATTATTATTATTATTATTATTATTATTATTATTATTATTATTATTTCACCTAAATCCCATTCATATTCATTGCTCCTTGACGCAACGAAACAAACTACTTATCTAGCGATTCCAATTTAATGGTCTTGGAGACATCAACACTTAGTAGGCGATTGCCAACCCGTACACTACCAACCCCACAGACACCTACAATACTACCCGCCGCATCACTGCCACTACTACTACCGGCAGCAGATACAGGATTTGTATCAACACCAGCATTAGCAACACCATCATTGACAACATCATCCCCCCGCCCGCAACGACTCCCATCGTTAGCTAAGCTGTCATCAACAATTTGTATATCTAAAAGACCTTCGGCATGATTATTACGATTAGTGGTGTCATCACTGCTCGAGTGCAACAATGCTGATGCCCCGGACGTTGTTGTAGAAGTGTTGATGTCAACACCTTCCTCGATTTTAACGGGCACAACAACAACTTGGCTCATATTGTTGTGTTTACGACGTTTATGGCCGGTTTTCAAATAATTGTTGTTACTATTATTGCAGTTGTTTGTCGTGTCTGCAGCAGGGCCATGATTGCGCCTACGATGTTGTTTATTGGCCATGCCAGCAGTAGTAACTCCCATTCCACCAGCAGCAGCACCAGCTGTTGTTGCAATTAGAGCCGCTGCTGCTGCCGTTGGGTGTTGCTGTGCATTGGCCGTGGCAACAACAATTGGCAAGGCAGTGGCAAATTTTATTTGGCCATTGTTGTTGGCTTTAACATTGATGTGGTTATTGTTGGCCGTTGTGGCATCGTTATTGTTGAGCAAATTAGCAGCTGTTAAATTCAAATGGGCCGGATTGGCGGCAATAAAAACTTTCGCCCCGGCATTTTGTAAAACATTTGTTAGGCTCTGTTGATTTATGATGGTCTGATGATGGTGTTGTAGCTGCTGTTGGGCGTTTTGTTGTTGACTAGAATTGTTTGTTGCTGCTGCAGCTGTTACTAAACTAGATGCATTTATTATTTGGCAACGTATATTGTTGTTATTGTTTGTACTACCGGTATTGTTGTTACAATTACTACTACTACTGCTATTATCACTGTTGGTACTATTATTACCACTACTATTACTATTACAGCTATTGTTATTGTTGTTGCTGTTAAAATTTAAAGCCTGCACCAGATTATGACTCTGACCCAATCCACCATGGGCCAACAAACGTTGCGTGGCAATGGGTGTTGCTGCCATTATTGAATAGCATTGGAATTGTTGTGGTGTCACAGGAACACCACCAGCACCACCCCCATTTCCATTGCCACTTGTCTCATCTTCATTTCCTCCATTTGTGCCATTATCATGATTGCTACTACTACTATTATTATTAACATTATTGCTGTTGTTGTTGTTAGAAGCATCTACCTGCATTGGTGTTATACACACAGTGCCATCACTGTTTGTGTGAATCTGCTGTATATTGGCCATCATGGATTGATACATTGAAGCGGAGACGGGTACGGTGATCATATTGCTAACCGAAACGGGATAACCTGAAATGGAGAAAGATAGGGGACAATTAGTATGGAATTGACAGAAAATAAATATAAAAGGATCAGTCGGTTTGTCATTTGTAGGATGTGTATCATAATAAATTGGTATAGTCCATCTCCGAACTTTGGTATCCAATGAGAAGGCACTAAGAAGTATGACCTTCTGGCCTTCTAGAGGAAATTTGGTATTCAATGAGAAGACCTTCGGGCCTTCAAAGATATTACCATTTGACCTTCTATGGGAGCGCATTTTTTATCTTCTACGAGAAGACCTTTTGTTATTCTAATAGAAGAACTTTTAGTCTTTTATGAGAAGACCTTTTAGCCTTTCATGAGAAGGCTCTTTAGCCTTCTATGGGAAGACCTTTAGGCCTCCTATGAGAAGGTTTTTTGGTCTTCTACTACCCTTTGGTCACCTACATAAAGACCCTTTGGTCCTGTACTTAAAGATCTTTTGGTCTTCTTCTATCTTCTATGAGAAGACCTTTTGGACTTCTATTGGAAGACCTTTTTGTCTTCCATGAGAAGACCTTCACGTCTTGTATGAGAAAACCTTCACGTCTTCTATGAGAATACCTTTTGGTCTTCTATGGGAAGACCTTCACGTATTCTATGAGAAGACCTTTACGTTTTCTATGAGATAACCTTAACGTCTTATATGAGATAACATTCACGTTTTCTATGAGAAGTGCTTCTGGTATTCTATTCTGATATTCTATGAGAATTCCTTCTAGTTCTTTGAGAAGTCCTTCTGGTCTTCTATGAGAAATCCTCCTGGTCTTTTATGAGAAGTCCTTCTGGTCTTATATGAGAAGCCCTTCTGGTCTTCAATCAGAAGTTCTTTTGCTCTTCTATTAGAAGCCCTTCAGGTCTTCTGTAAGAAGACCATCTTTGCTCTCTTCTAAGAGGATCATCTCTGTTCTTCTATGATAAGAGCATCTCTGCTCTTCTATGGGTAAGACTTTGGTTTTTTCCACAAGACCGTTCTGTCTTCTATAAGATTTTTTAGTCATCTGTGAGAAACCTATTTTACCCTCTCTGAGAAGTCCTTTTGGCCTTTTGTGAAATAAAATTTACGACCTAGAATCTATAAGAGAACTTTCCACACTTCTGTGGAAAGACCTTTTCGCCGTCTAAGGGAAGATTTACTGGCCTTCTGAGAGCTTATTCTATATGAAAAGATGTTCAAGTCTTCGATAAGTAATTATTCAGACCTCTATGCGGAAGCCTTTTGAACTTCTTTGAGAAAGATTTGTGAATTGATATGGGAAAGAATATCGACTAGAATAACTACATTGTAGTTTTTAATAAGAATATCGACTAGTACGCACGAAGTCTTTATGATATTGTATAACAGGACCATCTGTTTTTTTTTTTTTTTTTTTTTTTTTTGCAACCTTTTGGTCTTCCTTGGTCCTGTAGCTTGGTCATTTAGCAATTCTTTGGGAAAACAGTCTGATGTTAAGTAGGAATCAACTCTATTTTTCTGAATGTTTTATTGATGGTCTTCCCTTAGAGACTGTGATAAAGAACCTAAAGAAAATGTTGCACAAAACCCCCTACCATATTTCTAAGGATAAGGACAAAACCCCCCAAAAACTCTATAAAAAATTTGGTTTTTCTTTAAAATTCCATCTTACCTTGACCATCTTCAGTTGTTATATATATTTGTCCATCCTGGGCAACAGTGGCTTCGGTTAAATCAACGGTCATATTCTCATGACCATTAACATCGGCAAGACTTTGGACAGTTTGTATGGTGGCACCACCTTCACCCTGATGAAGCTGAAATAAACGACAAAAAATACAAAATTAAAAATGACATCATTTTTAAATCAATCAACAACTTACCGTAGCAACACCCTGCACTTGGGCGGTTGTACCATCTGGTAATGTGATAATAGGATTATTTGGATCAACCTGTATTAGGGACACAGTGCCATCGGCATTTTGTATGGTAGACAAAACCGTTTGAGTGGTGTACTATATATCAAAATGGAAGAGAAAACATACATTTTTATTAAAACGAAAAAATGAAATTATTTTTAAAGAAACAACAACAAAGCAAAATAAGGCATTAAAAAATCATTAGCAATAAAAATGAAGAAGTAAAAAATAACACAAAAAATACTATTTTGCAATAGAAAAATCATAAGGTATGGAAATTTTATAAAGAAAAACAGGAAGCACGTAGCAAAAACGAAGGGGTAATGCAGATAAAAGATAACAAAGAAAAACTCCATAAACAAAAATAAAATAACGCACAAAAATAAAAAAGAACACAAGACGACATCAATATTTTTTTCTGAGTGAATGATGCCCTCGCTCGTCATATTACTGACGCTATCAGAAACAATCAAAATGTTCCATATCGCATTTTACAAACACGTGCCGTGAGGCGTCATTCATTTGAAAATATTGACTCTCTACTGTTAATTGTTGCAACAAAAAAAGGAAATGAAACTCAAAAGAAAAATTCCGAAAATCATTTGCTTTTTTACGAACATCAACATCTCCCAGTGTCATGGGTTCTATGCACACTTGGGCATTGGCTATGGTCTGCGCGGCATTCGTTGTTGTATGAATCTGTTGATGTTGTTGTGTCTGATGGGTTTGATGCTGTTGCTGCTGCTGTTGTTGTGGCTGATGATGTTGCTGCTGTTGATGATGTTGTTGTTGCTGATGATGCTGCTGCTGTTGTTGTTGTTGCTGATGATGCTGCTGTTGTTGTTGCTGATGATGTTGTTGTTGCTGCTGCTGTTGGTGGTGTTGTTGCTGCTGCTGCTGATGATGTGTGGTAATTTGCGTTATCGGTGCTGGACACAATTCAATTTTCGTTGATGCCGGTAATCTGGCCGTTGTTGTTATATGCTGATCATTCGTACTCTGTATAATCGTCGGTCCTGGATTATTTGGATTGTGTGGATTTGTTGTGGTTATAACTGTACCCGAACTATTTATTTTAACCACATTTACTTGTTGCTAAAAAAGGTGTAGGTAGGGTTTATCATGAATATCGTTGGAAGTTGTTGGAAGGATTTTTTTTTGTGGTTACCACGGCAGATAAGCAGTTTGGTTAATAGCATAAGGTGATCATAAAAGCAGTAATTTTTAAAGAAAAAGCTGAAACCAAGGGTCCAAGAAAATATATCGAGAAAAGACTATTCTCAAAAGTCAACTGAAGTATGACTTCTGGTAATTTCAAAAAAATATGCCCTACACTTTAGAAACACCCTAAAACAAGGAAATTAATAGAACTAAAAGTTATGTCTTTAAGTTCACTGAGGTAAGCGTCATCATTGAGGTAAGCATAATTTCTCTTCTTATAATTGCCAAAATAAGGAAAAATACCTTCTTTTATGAAGAGTTTTTTTTTGTGCTGAATATGCAGTGAACTTTTTACAGGGATCATGTAATCTTAAAGAAAAAATTAGGTGCTGGATTTTTCTAAAACTTAATGTAATAAAGCTGGGGCGAAGAATAGATCATCGAAACTATATAAAACAGTTCGAGACAGCGGCTAAATAGATTGAATCCTGGAATCTAAGATCGCAGACCCGATTCTCAAACCAAAGATCGCTAAATCGATAACTATCAACGTAGCAAGTTGTCCAGAGAGTTGATTAAATCAAAAGTATCTCTGTCCTGAGATACAATTTAGGAAAACTAGATACATCTTCTCGTTTGGTTTGTACAGCAGATCAATGCATCATAGAAGGAAATAGGAAAGTAGACGCTATCTCCAGACTAGATTAAACTAATGTAGCAAAGAACGGATCTTCAAAGTTTTGCTGAAGTCCTCAAAACAGAAAAAACTGAATGGGATAGTTCTAGCATAGAGAATATGGAATAGACCGAAGCGATTGAACAGTTTTTTCGCTACGTGTTTAAGGGAGTTCAACTCAGAATCTCAATTTCCTTTCGAAAATAAACACGTAATCATCTGGTATTTCGCCAAGGGACTCTAATGGTAAACCATAAATTGTTCACCATTTCTACTATTATAACCCTATATATTTATGGCTATAAATCTTTATTGCTACACCTTCTTGAAAAACCCCGTCAGCCCAATTCAGGGCAGACCATATCCAGCTATTATAAAACATTATAATATAGAAAGAAAATAATCAGTGGCTTGAAGGTCCGAGGAAATGAAAAAAAATCTATACTCTACGCAATGACAATACAAAGCTTCTGGAGAAACTAACATAACCTGAACCAAATTCTCCGGAAACCTAAAAAAGATTAGCTCCATAGGTGACCCTCGAAAGATTGCAATCATCCAATTTAATGCATGTGGGAAGCATACAGCATACATATCGAATATTACAATAATCCTAAATTCGAAAATTGCTGATAAATTGCAGATATACCAAATACATTTTAAGCGAGACAATCGCCAACCCAAAAATGCTTAAACTTCGGGCAAACATGTAGGTATATAAGAATAGTTTTGTAGACGTTCACACGATTATCGGTCATATGGTGACCCGAATTCTAATCAACCCATGGACAATTTCAGGTTTAACAACTCAACAACAACAAATGGGAAAGTCGTTAAACTGTCAAGAATGTCAAAAGACCTCAAGGTCGACGACAAAGCATTGAAACTACTCTTCAGGGAGAATGCTAGAGCGAGCCTGCACGACTAACCACGATGCAAGATATCAAATCAAATTTAGGAAGACATATCTATGCATAGAACACAGGCTCTATTAAGTATGAAACAAACAATGTTTCGGATAATGAAAGAGGTATTAACAGGTTATTGGAACCTCCGATCAAGAATGTCCAAATGACATAATTCTAACGTCGAATACTGCAGATCGTGCGAGAATTGGGTATCCTGCACAATTGAGAGTCCTTTGCTGCATATTACTTCGGAAGAAGGCTACATTGGCTCTAACGCCGGCCTTAGAAAATTTTTTTCGACGCCTGCTTTTATTTTCTACCAACATCTAATACCGATGCTATGCAACTTTCTTTCTTTCTTTTCACGCAGGATCATCACAATGTTCAGAAAGGTCTCAAGGTCCAGGACCATTTCACTCGGTGACCTTTGATTCATTATATTCTTCCTGAGAAAACAACCAAAAATTAAGTCTGCAACAGGATTGTTCCAATTCTGAGACAAAAACAGTAATCTCAAATGCTTCTAGATAAACTAAAGACCGTCACTACTTTGTTATCCTATTTTCAAAAAGACCGTTTGAAGAAAAGTGTTAGGAACATAAAAACTGTGAAAATTGCAAAGTGGAACTGGGCACGTACCAATTCTTTATAGGAACATTTAACAAAATAAAAATAAAATTCACCTAAGGTGAGGCCTGTACCAAAATTACAAAACATATACTGAATATTTTTTGTAAAGAATTTTATATAAGCTGAGATTTTGAAATGTCAAATGAAAAATTAGTTACTAACTAAAACGTGAAGCAATATTACAAAAAAATTGGCTACCGATAAATGTTGCCAATTTTTAGAAAAAACAATTTCAAACTAAGCTTAAATTCAGTAAATGATGTTAACGAATGACAATTATTTCGATATTCTATTATCAAGAAAAAATGGCTGTGGAGTTGAGGTATAACGTCGCCGATATATGAATCGTTAAAAATACAAATCATTATCTGAATCTAATTTCAAATTTGGATTCAGATATAAATTCTACATACAACTCCAAAGTTCATTTAAATTTATTATTTTTGTGTTTTTTTTTTTTCAGTCGAATATGATTATTATGAAAAGTCTTGGGGACTACATGTTTTCTCGTTTTAATCATATTCCACTGGCATTCCCTCTCTCTCTCTCACTCGTAGCTTATGTATATATGCATCTTCTTACCCTGAACTAATTGCAATGGACAAATTTGAAGGGGGAAGGAAAAAAGTTAATATTTACCCTTACATTAGTTGTTGTCGTATTATTAGTTGGAGCATTTGTTACAGTTTGTATGGTAGTGGTAGTATTATTGTTATTATTGACAGGCTGTACAATCACCTCTTCTTCCTCGTCTTCTTCTTCGTGTGAGATCAGTTGGGAGACTTTATCATCTTCGTCGGCAAATGTGGGTAGTAAATCTTCACGGCCATGATATTTATAACAGTTGATGACAATTTTACGCAAGGCATGGGTCCAGGAGATCTAAAGTAAACAACAAACAGAAATAATAACAAATAAACGGAACACAGAAAACTTGTCCACTCACCTTTTGTTTGTCATCCTCTGATCTGGCATCCATACGCACATTGGCCCAGGGCAGTTCTTTGGGCCACCATGGTGGTCTGGTGGCCTCACGGCCCCAACCGGGTTTACCCCTCCCCGTGGAGTATTTCAACATTAACGGTATGAACGCCCTCAATTGGGCCTGTGTCATTTTCTCCACCGGTGTTGGTATACCATCTATAATCAGAGGCGGCAATTCGAACAGCGATGGGTCCTCCTGTGGCGGCGGTGGTGCTTGCTGTGCCAAAGCATTTTCCAATTCATCCATAACAATATTCTTAAGATTACGCACAACATCTTCGAGAGGTTTGGCACCAAACACTTTGTAACTTGTATTCGGTTTGCCTGGGGTGGCAACCAACACAACAGCCTGTTTACCCACACGTCCTGTGAATTCATAGATTATACCGCGCAGTTTACGCAATAATCTATTCTGTTGTCGTTTACGCACCGACGGATTCGTTTCGAACGAATGTTGCCTTTTGCGTTTTTTCGATGATGCAATGGCGGCGGCGGCCGCCACACCCACTGGTCCTGCAGCAGCCAATTGATTGGCTAGATCATCTTGTACGGCAGCCAATTCATTTTCATCGAAAATGCTACCATCACTGCTGATCATATCATCATCGTCATCGTCTGAGGCCATACTGTCGTCGAGCATTTCAATTTTATAGGTGGTTTGATGTTTTTGGCCATGATTTTGTATACTTTCCACAGCAGCCTGTGTGGCATTGGAGACGGTTGATATTGTGGCGACATTCATGGTGAAGGGGGATTATATTATGATTATAGGTGTATGTGGGTGTGAGAAAAGATGTGAATTTTGAAAGGGCCAGCCAACTTCTTCCAATAGTTGGTTGAAAGCCTTTCCTTTCCTTTAGGGGTGGTTGTGGGTTTTATAGACCCAAATATTTGGTTTCGTTGCTTATAACTATATTTCTTTTTGTTGTTATTGCACTTCTCCTTTTTGTTTCGTCTTATATATTAATTAGCACAAAAGAGATAGTAAGAAGTTAGAAGTGAAGATGTCCGCGTGAAGATGTTTTTGTAAGAAGCTTCAATCTGCAAAAAGAAGAAATAAAAACATTTTTAAATTGATTTATAAATTTAAAATGTCAAAGGTAATTTGTTTGGGTTATCGACCCGTTTCAAATCGAAATCATCTTAGAAAAGGGAAACTGTGGATATATGCGTGGGGTACCACATATAACGGACCTCAATATTTCACTTCTCTAATACAGATTAAAAATATTAATATGTGCAAAATTTGAAAGAAATCGAACATTTATATCCAATTTTATTCGAAATCATAAATTCCAACAAATTCCATCTTCATATCAGATTTCTGGTTAAGAGAACTATTTAGATATAGCAAGTTGTCAAAAATCGCCGACTTGTTTCGCAAGCTATGACTCATATAAGTATTGGAAATTGTAACCCTTTGTGGTTGAGATACCAGAAAAGGTTCGCAGATATCTATCATCTTCGCAAAAAATTTTGAAGACATTTGAATGCTTGAATCGCGTTTAATGAGCGTTTTGTTTTTCAAATTTTGGAAAGAAAACCGGATGTTTATTTCAGATTTTATGATCATTTTTTTATTCAAAACGTTGAGGTACCAGAAGCAATAGTCCGATCTCTACCACATTTATAACAGATCATGTGTTAGTGGAAATATTGCGATGTACCAATTCTGAATGGAATCTAATGTTAATTTCGCGTTTTATGAGCTCGCATTATTTAAAAATGTTTACCCTTTGTGGGGGATGTACCAGAAAGAGTGGACCGATATATTCCATCATCACACTAGACCTTGGGTTAATAAAAATATTGTGATGTGTGTAATTTAAAAAGAACCGGATGCTTTTTTAGGATTTTATTATCGCTTTTATTATTCAAAACTTTGATCCTTTGAGGGGGAGGTATGGAATGGAGGAATGGTCCGAATCTACTATATTGTTAACAGATCTTGTGTTAATGGAAATATTGAGATGTGCCAAGCCTGAATGGAATCGGATTCCATAAGTATTAAAAAAATTAACCCTTTGTGGAGGAGGTACCGGAAGGAGTGGACCAATATATTCCATCTTCACATCAGACCTTGGAATAATGGAAATATTGTGATGTGTGTAATTTTAAGACTATCGGACACTTACATCACATTTTATTAGAGTTATAATTAATCAAAAGTTTGACTCGTTGTGGGGGAGGTACTGGATGGAGTGGACATATATTGTCTTTTTTTTGCACCTAACCTAGCACTGACAAGAATTTTAGGATTTGCTAAGTTGGAGCAAAATGGGATTATCCTTTCTCTTTCTGTGCAATAAATTATTTTCTTTGAAAATTTTGATTTTTTTGGGGAGGTACCAGAAGGAGTGGACCAATATTGCCCATCTTCGAACTCGATCTAAGTTTGACAATAATATTACGATGTACCAAGTTTGGATCAAATCGGATACCCTCTTCGAGAGTTATCGTGCGGGCGTGCCAGCCAGACAGACAGACGGACGGACTGACATCGCTAGATCGACTCCAATTGTCCTGAAACGGATTTGGTCTATAGGCACGTTTTGGCCGTATCAAATGATATATACCCTCTCTACCCATATGGCTGAGGGTATAAAGAAACCGCAATCATCACAATTTGCTAAGGAATGCTTCTCTGATACTTAGTATTGTTTTGGTCCTTGGACCTCCAAACTAAAATAACCTAGGACTTCCACAACCACGATCTGTGCTGATTTGAAGCTACCAGAGAGCCATTTTACTTGGACCCTTCGTTTTTGAAAACAACGGGTGAAGCATTGAGATTGCATAGTTATGGTGTTAAAATAATAAGACTAGAAACCTGCCGATTTTTGTAGGAATGTTTGCGATGGATCATAAAATTGGGAATGGCAATTAAGATCAAAGCTAAACCTATTCTTTTAATTCAAGAAGGTTTTCCATATACGAAGTAATTGGTAGAAATATTGGGATGCGTGAAGATTGAAATGAATCATATGTTTATTTCGCGTTTTGGATATTCACAATTTTTGACGCCATGTGGGGGAGAGATTCCAGAAGGAATCGTATTTTCAGACCAGATTCTGTGTTGCTATAAATATTCGGATGTGCTACATTTGAAGACAATCGGACTCTTATTTCGCATTTTATAAGAAATATGATTATAAAAGAAATTTAACCCCTTGTGAGGAGGCATTAGAAGGAGTTAGCCGATATTGCCTTTTTTCGCACCTAATCTAACATGGATGCAAATATTAGAATTTGTAAAATTTGTACTAAAGCATATCCAAATTACCGAACAAAACTCGAGAATAGATTTAAATTTTTTTCTATAGATAAATATTCTTCGAGAACTGACGCAAATTTTTTTTCTATAGAGAAAAAATCCTCAGAGAAGCTAAGGCTGATTTTTTTCTATACAGAGAAAAAAATCCTCAGAGAAGCTAAGGCTGATTTTTTTCTATACAGAGAAAAAAATCCTCAGAGAAGCTGAGGCTGATTTTTTTTCTATAGAGAAAAAATCCTCAGAGAAGCTGAGGCTGATTTTTTTTCTATAGGGAAAAAATCCTCAGAGAAGCGGAGGCTGATTTTTTTCTATAGAGAAAAAATCCTCAGAGAAGCTGAGGCTGATTTTTTTCTATAGAGAAAAAATCCTCAGAGAAGCTGAGGCTGATTTTTTTCTATAGAGAAAAAATCCTCAGAGAAGCTGAGGCTGATTTTTTTCTATAGAGAAAAAATCCTCAGAGAAGCTGAGGCTGATTTTTTTCTATAGAGAAAAAATCCTCAGAGAAGCTGAGGCTGATTTTTTTCTATAGAGAAAAAATCCTCAGAGAAGCTGAGGCTGATTTTTTTCTATAGAGAAAAAATCCTCAGAGAAGCTGAGGCTGACTGTTTTCTATAGAGAAATAATCCTCAGAATACTTCGGTCGACTAAATCTGGTACCTCATGCACATTTTGACATCTAAAAATGCTCACATACCTCATATTTATTTAGGTCCGATACGAAATGGACAATAGTGGCCCATTCCCATACATTACAGATGTCAAATATATATTAAAATAATCGACCATAAGCCGAGGGTACACATCTGTCGGCATAACCGACTGATACTTTTTAAATTTAAATGTCGTTCAAAACACTGTGCATGCATGGAAACCGTCACTTCATTTTAGTAGAACGTATAATTTGCTACATTCGAATAGTGACGAAAAAATATAATATTCCATAGAATATTACAATATTCTCTTATTCTAAAGTTTTTTCTTTCATGTTTTGTTTTTCGTTAATGTGCTATTGTTGTATTCTATATTTGTTTTTGTTGTTGGTTGGGTCCGTAGCGGCGTTGATAACAAAATGAGGTCATCAAAAGTCGGTGCACTTAATTATGGCATGACAATCATGATGATGATGATGATGACGATATAGATGTTGTTGATTTTAATTCTAGTTGAGCTCAGCAGAATAATTTAAAAACACTTGCGCTTGCGTAGACTATTTTTCACAGGGGGCCAGGTAATTTGAATATTTTTTTCAAAATTTAAATAAATTGTGTTATTTTTTGTATGCACTTACAAAGAATATTCGAAACACATTTGGTTTAACAAAATATTTTCTTTTGTTGTAAATTTTAATATTTTTAGATTTTTTAACAAAAATGTTTTTTGTTTGAATTATTTATTTTTAAAACTTTAACGCAATCGCATTGTCGCGTTGTGCAACCGAAAAAATCACTTCTACACTTCAGCAAACCACCCCACCGACTGAGCAGGAGCACAAGAGTTTTCCTCTACTGCGTCGTCGTCGTTGACGTTACAATTGGAATAGAGGAGAGACAGCAGGAGAGAGAGCGAACGGGCGAGCGGGCAAAATAAAGCATAAAATGTACAACAAAAGATAAACAACAAAAATCAATACCAACAACGACCGCAGCCGCAGCAGAAGAACAACATCAGCATATAATAGAGTCTCACTGACTAGCTGGCTGACTGGCTGGCTGGTGGGCTGAATTGTTGGGCTTATCGCGCACACCGTACACGAGAAAAACGACAGGCAAGCAAACAACCAACCCAGCTAGGCAAGCACTTAAACACACACACCCGAAGAGGAGGCAAACAAACTGAGAAACAGTCGGACAATCGAAAGAAACATCAACGAAAAGTGTGGAAAAACGTACAAACAAACATCCACCACCACCACCGTAAGAGCTTTTGTTATAAGGTCCAGGCAACACCACCAGCACCACCCACCCCTACTGGATTACAGCAAGTCAGCTGCATCACTTTCTACCACCACCGCCTCACTATGACAATACAAATAATTTCTTTACCCACCTTCCTTGTTTTCCTTCCCGAATCAACCCCGTTTCGTGTGGTGCTGTGACAACCGAAAGGGGGTGGATTTTTTTTGTCCAAAATACATTCTCCCTTCTCATTGTTTTGCACTTGCCAATAAAGGTGAAACCCCAGGCGCACGAATATCATTTACAACCGAGAATCAGAGACTCATTTGTGCTGTTGTTTTTGGTGGATAGATATGCGACAGACAACGCATGCACTGCACCCTTAAACATTACCATTTGGGCAGAGGAGGGGAGGGGAGTTTTTTTTTTTTTCAATGCATTAGACCAATTTTATTTTTCTGTTTTCAATTTCTAGACAGAAATGTTTTGTTAGCTTTTTCCATTAGGTCCAGACAGACGTTGAGTGATGGATGATGTGAAGGAAGGAAAGAACACCCTTTACGGGCTGTTTCTAATCATTGCATTAGAATTGGTGTTGCCATTTGGTATTGAAGCTAACTACCAAAAAATTTGTCATTTGTTGAGATTCTACCAAATACGAAAATATTTAAACATTTTTTATACCCTACACCAGATTGTGATAATGGTATTAAGACTTTATGCATTTGGCTGCAACATGGAGGAGGAAGCGAGATTTCCATTAGGTCCAGACAGACAGACGTTGAGAGATGGATGATGTGAAGGAAGGAAAGAACACCCTTTACGGTCTGTTTCTAATCATTGCATTAGAATTGGTGTTGCCATTTGGTATT